GCCCCGCCCCCCTCCGCTCCTAGTCCTAGTCCTCCCTCCCATCCTACTCCCTGTCCTCCTACCTGCCCCACTGATACAAACCAATGACATACACGTTCAGATTGTCACACAGAATACGTTCCGATTGTGACACAGAATACATTAATTTTTTTTTTTTACATTTTTGTGTGTGTGTTCCAGTTGCTGTTTATTGTCTATACGCTGTGCTCTATGTTTTGATCAAAATTGTATGCTGCAGCATGCTCTGTCTATTTCAGAGAGAACTAATAATTTAGGAAATCTAACTGTCAAAAAGTAATCAGGGGATGTGCTAAAAATTCTACTCGATGATCTTGCTCTTTGTTGTTGTGAGAGGAAATGTTACTCTTTAAAAAGAAAAAACAACAACAACAAAACAAACAATGAGATCTGAATTTGTTTGTTTATTGTAGACGAATCGATTTAAGGTGTTGATGAAGTGTTGGTAAGAATGATGCAAATAAAAAAAATCATGTAAATTAGTGTTTGCGGGTAGTGGAAAAAAAGCATAGATAGATTTGTACCCTATCATAATTGGTTTCCAATTGCTGGTACATGTTATTATCTATTTCGGCTGATGCAGAAAGAAGTGTAAAGGACTTTAGACTGACAGCTGTTGTTGTTATATAAATTTAACTGCCTTTCCAATGCTCTAAGGTTATTTTAGGGGCTTGGCCTTCAAATTTAACGTCTGTCTCCGATAGCACACATCAAGCCAAATGGTTGGAGCGCCTTAAAATCTCCCCCCAAAAACCCAAGTTCAAGAATGCCCAGTGGTGGAATCGAACCAAAGCCATCTGGTCTGCAGTTCAGCATGATACTAACTGCTAACGGAACACCCCAGGGACAGCTGATGCCCCCTCTCTCTCTCTCTCTGAATGACGGGAAACTTAAGCACTTATTAATTCCAAAACAGCTGGGGCTTTATAGCCGTGGTATTGTTCTGGCAAGTAGTAAAAAAGAGATGAGAGCTGAGTAGGAACACTTCGCTCGCCACCTGAGAGTTACAAAGTTCTATCTGACATTTTTGGCTGTTTTGAGTTGCGAAGACCTTGAGGTCCAAAACCAAATGTTTTATCTGCTCTATCAAAATCGTAAAATTATTCATTGTCATTTTCAAGATATTCGAAGAATTGCGTTTGAAAAAAATTGACATGTTGTGAAATTCAAAATTTTCTGTCAGATTTCTCAGTCATAACTAGCTACTGAGAGGATAGAACTTTGTAATTCTAGGATAGTGACTTGTTCAAAACACTCTGGCACAAGGGCATAGGGTAATTGGGGGGGGGGGGGGGGCAGAGAGCCCTGGCCGGGAACTGGATTTTGTCTTTTTGTTTGCTTTGAATTAATTTTTTTTCTTTCGTATTTTCATTCGACAGGTCTTAGCAAGATGGTTCTCTGCTTTCGGGTCAAGTTCTACCCTGAAGATCCCATGAAGTTGCATGAAGAGATCACAAGGTTTGTTGGAAGCTTCTAAGGGAGGCTTGATACTTACATCGCATTTATTTCCTCAATAAAAATAATGGGATAAAGGTTGCTGTATTTATGTAGCCTCTGCTGAACTGGAAATGGGCTGGCCACATCAGCAGAGTGAAAGACAACAGCTAGTACCCTGATCAGAATATGGTTTTTTTTCTCTCTTTTTTTCGAAATTTTTTAGGTTTAATACCCCTTTCGACATAGTAAAGTTGATTAAGAGATTTAATGCCTCTCTCTAAAAGATAGAGCCAAATGGATGGAGGACCTTAAAAACTCTTCCAAAGAACCCAGGTTAGAACAGTGGCGAGCGCGCTCCCCCTCCCCCCCCCCCTTCTCCCTGGAGATTCTAACTAGGGACATTTGCTCTGTAGTCCAGCATAATACCATCTGGGCTGACTGCCGCCCCAAAACATTAATTTGATTCTTAGTAAACAGCACACTAGTTCTTCTGGGTCACAGCATCGCTCGGTTGTATAACAGTCGTATCAAAGACCTCGTCAATTTCATCTTGTCTTTAATCCAACTGTATGATTGTTGCTTATATCATTCATTCATACTCAGTTTGGTATTTGTTTTTATAGAAATGGGTTAACCCTTTTGTGATATAGGGTCAGTTCGTGCTTCACCAGGCACAGTTTTGAATCTCCAGGGACTCAGAGTAGCGCTAGATTTAGTGGTCAGTTTCCGATGACAAGACCTGGTTTGCAAATACTACTAACTATCTTTAAGAGGAAAAGATATTTTCGTACGGAAAAAATGATAATATTCCTGAATGTGAATCTGCGATTAGTTTTACCAAATGCATCTAATAGAAGCAGTATGCAGAATACTACCTCACAGCGTTCGTCATTATGGTCCTCGCGCCTCACAAGGCATGACAAACGCCATACGTCACAACAGCATCTTGGCTGGTTCACCGTGTAAGAAATAATGACGAACACCATACGCCATATAGGTCACAAAGGGGTTAAATTTATAGGAGAGGAGTTGTCGGGAAGGTTGGGATGCTGAAAACTCAGATGACAAAACTGGTCGCCCCTAAGTAGGAATCGTCTTATGAATGCTAAAAGTTAAGCGAGCTTTGACGGGGGTCAGGGCAGAAATTAGTTCAGTGATTGCTGAAAACATATCGTCAGCTACAGCTTGACAACAAACAAAATTTAACTTCCCCTTTTTTTCCCAGGTACTACCTCTTTTTGCAACTTCGTCGAGATCTTCACCACGGTCGACTGTTGTGTCCACATGATGAATCCATACAACTGGCTGCCTACATCATACAGTGTAAGACAATAAGACAAATCTTTAGCAGATTTCTGGGCAAAATGTCATCTAAGGTCACTGCGTTGAAGTTGACTCTTTGTACCCATGATTTTGAGCTCAATGGGGAAGGTTTTGTATTTTTTTTTTGGGGGGAATTATTTTCTCATTAATACGGCTGATGTAAACCACCCAGGTTGTATATAGTCATGACATACTTCAAGTCAAAGTTAATTGCATACAGAAGCTGACAGTCTAGGAATCCTGAATGTATGGCTCGTCTTTTTTTAGTATAAGGCTCCAAAGAAATAATAGTAGAGATAATGAGTGGATGGTTGGCGGATGCTCTGGTGTGGTGTGCTCCTTCTTTCCTATCAAACATCTACCGTCCTTATCTCCCCTTCTTATTTTTTATGTTTGTTACTCTCTTATAACACCTCTAATCTTCTGGCGCTCATATGGCCTTATGCAGTTGCGGGCGCCATAAAACCTCTACTAAAATATATAAAATATATAATGGAAAACACAGATGAACGCTGATAGTGTTCTTCTGTGGTTGTGGGATTTCCTGACTAATGCAGTTAGTGTTGTGCCATGTGTAAATAGTTAACAGAATGTGTTTTTTGGTCGCTGGGACAGTTGCAATGGAAACGTGTCTGATTATTTATTTATAGTTCCGTTGTGTTGTCTGTTGTGTCTGGTTTAGCTTTAGTTTAAACTCTCTGAGTCTCTCTCTCTCTCGAGATCTCTTTCTCTCTCTCTCTCTCTTTTTTAAAAAATGGAAATTTCTATACATCCATAATATAATCTTCTACAAACACACCTGTCAAGTAATATATAAATCTAAATTTATTTGACTGTAATGCACATTTAGCGATTTTTAGAAAATACAAATTTTACAGCGGCAAAGCTACTTATTATTTCTAATTCTTTTGCTTATTCTTATTATCGTCCTTGTTCTTTCAGCGGAAGTCGGAGACTACGATCCCCAAGATCATGGGCCGGGCTATGTGTCGGAGTTCAAGATGCTTCCCAAGCAGACTCCGAAGCATGAGGAAAAGATCATGGAAGCTCACAGGGCGTTGATGTAAGCGAGCGTGGTGTGCCCAGCGGCAGGTGTCGCGACAAGCGGCAGCTGGTGGCCTTGCCGTGGTGCCACAGGTGTAAAAAGTTTTTATGAGGCGCGAGTTTGTTTGAAGTGTGAGACAAGCGGTCCCTGTGCTGATGCATAATGTCAGTGTCGCCAGGTGGGGTGGGTTGTAAGATTAATGAGGTGGCCGGTAGATTTACTGTGCTCTGAAATGTTAGTCACAGAATTGTCAGTTTTAGTTGTGGAAATGGTCTGGTGTCCTGCATTAATATGATATAATGATACTCTCATTTTTTAAAAGATATACCAACTGCAAGGCAGCCCATCATTGCGAATCTGGTGGAATCATTGTGATTAAACTTTAAAAATTTTTTTTTTTTACAAAAGTACGATTGTAACGACCCTGATTCCGATTTTTAAAAATATATTTGCTGGTCGGCTACCCCAACCCATGCCTACCCTCCTGGCATAATGCAGAGAAAAAAATGTGAGGCATGCTGACAAAATGAGTTACTTCTCGCAATTCACAAATGGAGATATTTTTCAAAAATTGACATTACAGTCAAATTTGTAGATTTTCTATCGATGCCATATTCTTTAACTGTAACCTGTCTTTTATTATTTCATACTTATAAATTGTAAAAACTTCACCTATAAACGTGATGTATCTATTTCCTTAACTTAAGGCTTGAATCTGTGAAGTGACTCATTTTGTCAGCCCACTTCACAAATGGTCAGATCCCAGCAGTCTACCCCACATTCAGCTGTCTAACTTAAATACCCTCTGCACACAGTCCCCTTGTAGTCACTTGCCTTTAAAAAAGCATGTTGCACCTAAGCCAGGATTACAGCAAACATTGGTTTGACAAGGGGGGAAAAAACATCTGCTCTTACGTGTTGTGGGTGAGGCATAAGACAATGAGAGAATATTTTTTTTTAAAAATGGATCATCGTTTGAAACTTGAAACAATCATCTGTTGCGCGTGGCATGGTGTTAGGTGTGCATTATCAGGATCAGAAGCTTGTGACATGTTCTGTCATTCCATCGGTTTCTTCCTAATTTTGGAAGGTAAAAGCTCATAGCCAGTGCTCCCTCCTTCCCTTCCCTTTTTTTTCTGAACTTCACTATGATGAGCCTGTTGAGACCTCTTAGTTAGTTTAGTTTAGTTTTAGTAGAGGTTTTATGGCGCTCGCAACTGCACAAGGTCATATGAGAGCCAGAAGATTAGAGGTGTTACAAGAGAGTAACAAACATAAAAAAGAAGAAGGGGAGATAAGGACGATAGAAATTGAGACCTGTGTCATCATGCTTTTGTTTATATTACATTCTTGAACCCACAAAGCTGTCCTTGACACCTCAGTGAAAAAAGAAAAACAACAAACAAACTATCCTTGGCCAATCTATTATTTGTTGATTACTATAACATATTCAGTTGCTTAGTGTGACACTCCGCCATACATCATTGTGAAAAGTGATGTATGATAAAGTCTGAAATCTGCTCGCTCATATGACCTTATGCAGTTGCGAGTGCCGTAAAACAATTACCAGAAAATTAAAAAGTCTTAAAGTGAACAGTTGATACGCTAGTGGATGGGTAGCCCTGGCGCTGTTCCACGCACACTCATTTGTACAAGGACACATGAGATGCATTATATCGCTTTACACTTACACCCCAGATTCACCAAGAAACAAATAAACCGTATCCATTTGGAGATACAAGTATGAGGTGTATCAGGACAAAGATGATGGGTAGTTCAGTTTTACAATTATATCACAATAGAATGATGATGCTTGAAAGCAGGAAGAACTTCTGTAATGTTGTCTGTCTTCTGTAGAAATAGTTTCTGTTCCCTCTGCGTCACTGCTGTCAATTATTTACCTGTGTTCACAGCGGGCAAGTACCATCTGATTGTGAGGCCAGTTTTCTCCGCAAAGCAGCCAGTATGGATACCTACGGCGTTGATCCCCATCAGGTCAAAGTAAGTGGCAGTTCCAGATTAAAAAATTTTTTTTCATTTCTAAACTCTTGGTTTGAATTGTAGAAAGTTGCAGATACAGTCGAAATTGTTCAAGACAGCCAAGCACTGTCTGGGAAAGAAGTAGTTGTCTTAGACAAGTGGAGGTCTTGGACAGTGTATTTATAATATGAAAAAAAAAAAACAGAAAAAAATGAAAGGGAGAAAATGGGAGATGGTTAAGTGTACAGGTGACTGTCTTGGATTAGTTGCCCAAGTGCATCAACCCTGTATCCAACAAAAACAAAATTTTACAGGAGAAGGAAAAAACTTATTCTTTTCATCTAACAAAGTTTGTTAAAAATTGAAGTCGGAATGTTGCACAGGCGATGTTTTTTGAGCTACATATCTAAAAATTTGACACAAAATCCGCAACGTTACACTTAGTAGAAAAAAGCACCAAAAAAAGTGTTTTTTGACATAGTGTGGGTTACAGGGTTGTTGTCTCAGGCGACGATGACTGTTGGAGCAGGTTTGACGGTACTGACCTTTCCTCTATGCAGTGGAGTCAGGCACTCCTCAAGTTTAGGGGATATGGAATTACAGACATTATTTTATAGCTTATTTGTTTATCTTGCTTTTTGTGGCGTCGGTAGCCTAGTGGTTAGGCTACCGAATTCGTAATCGTGAGATTGCGAGTTAGGGGGTTTGAGCCTCAGCTCGGTCCGACGTTGTGTCCTTGGGAAAGGCACTTTACGCGAACTTCCCACTTGGCTCAGTCCTATCAGAGACGGACGTTAAACTAGGAGGTCCCGCCCCTTAAATAACCTAATAGTGTTGATAGGGGCGTTAAACCTTTTCCATTTCACCATTTTTCATCTTGCTTTTAATAAAATAATTTTATTATTTTGACGAGCTCCTGATTTCACCATGATGCCACACAAATGTGAACTATGCATAAACAGTCATCGTCACCTGAGTACAACAACCACTAGGAATGATAGAGATGGAAACTTTTTGCAAGAAATTCTATTAAAGCTTAGGTCTATAGGAACAAGGTCATTGGGTTTTTAGTTTTAGCAGAGGTTTTACGGCGCTCGCAACTGCACAAGGTCATATGAGTGCCAGAAGATTAGTGGTGTTACAAGAGAGTAACAAACATAAAAAAAAGAAGGGGAGATAAGGATGATAGATGTTTCATAGGAAAGAAGAAGCAAACCACACCAGAGCACCCGCCAACCACCCACGGTCATTGGGTGAGAAGTGCTGAGGTTCATGGGATAAGAAGAGTGTTGTTGATTTATGTCATGTACGATTTCCGTTCTTAACTAACCGTGTAGCGCTGTAAGGGGCGTTCAAACCTACACAACTGAATGATTGGCGGATGCTATGGTGTGGTTCCCTTCTTCTTTCCTATCAATTTTATCTATCGTCCTTATCTCTCTCCCTTCTTTTCTTTGTGTGCTATTCTTTAGTCACACTTCTAATTTTCGACACTGAGATGACTTATATGTGTTGTAAGTGCCGTTAAAAACTCTTACGGAAAGTAGAACTGAACCTGTACAATTTTCCACTTATTTTTTCTTTTCAGGACCAGAAGGGAGACCAGCTGTACCTGGGGGTGACACATTTGGGAATCATGACATTTCGAGGAAACCGACGCACCCAGTTGTTCAAATGGTGAGCTCTTGTCTGTTTGTGTGAATGGTACCCTCATCATATAGTGTATGTTGCTCTTGTCTGTTTGTGTGAATGGTACCTTTGTTATATAGTGTATGTTGCTCATGTCTGTTTGTTTGAGTGGTACCCTCATCATACATTGTATGTTGCTCTTTCCTATCAAACTTCTGTCATCCTTATTTCCCCTCCTTCTTTTTCGTGTTTGTTACTCTCTTGTAACACCTCTAATCTTCAGCACTTATATGACCTTGTGTTGTAAGTGCTGTAATACTCTTACTAAAACAAAAACAACTTTTGTCTTTTTTATCCTTTTTCTTCAGGGCACAGATCAGAAGAATTGCGTATGAAGGGAAAATGTTCATTGTGCACCACACCAATTCAGAGGTAAAATAAGTTCTCTTACATAATTTTTGGTTTTTTCTACTTAGACTGACAGCTTAATGGACTGTTTCGAATGTAAATTTTCACGCATTTTCTTCTTTTTACTTTGACTTTGACTTTTCTATTGACTCATTTTAAAAAGTTCACATTTCTTAACCATCACTGACTTTTAGCCTTCCGTTAGATACTTGCCCAATGTTCTTGCTTATGTCCTTTTAACAAGATTTTTACTTATCTTGGAAGCTAACAAACTTTCTAAATGGAAAACAAACTTACAGTGGAACACAGGAAGGTTTTTTCGTCTGTCTTCTGGTTTGTGGAGCGTACAAGAGATAAGCCATGGCCGCATTACTGCTAGTCCGTGTTTTGGGCCATTCAATTCCATGAAAACTTGAAATACAGTGACACACATAAATGGAGATGATGACCTGTTGTAAAAACTTTAACACTTTCCACCCACGCGATCGCGCAGAGCACGCAACACTTATCCCCTTGGACCAGGATACAGGTGCGGTTCACGCTATATCACACCGGCGCTGATCGGCGTCCCATGGGGGCAAAGTGTTAAGCAGGGATAGAGCCATTCTTTATTTTATCTTTCATTTGTTTGAGATAACCTTTTTTAGCGACACAATCATCCCCTTCCCCCTCCCCTCCACAAAAAAGGCTTTTTCTCTGTGACCGTTTAGAATGTTAGAATGTTTTCAGCAGGCCACCATCCCTGTGCTACTGTATCACTGCAGTTTGGCTTGTCATGGAATGGCCCATCAGTGCAAGAAGTGCATGGGCTAGTGTGGGGTGTGGGGCTCATTTTGTGATTCAGAGAGTTGTACTGGTTCACAGCAAACTGGAGAATGGCATTTGCACATTTACTCTTGCTTCTTGTGTGGGAAAGTGTCACAATATTGCTTTTACTTCCAAAATGGCTTGACAAGAAATTTTTGCACGGTTGAAACTTTTCTTTCTAAATTTGCTGTGTAAAATTTTTTAATGACAGATTTTTTATGTTTTGGATGTGTGAGAAAGATTTCCGTTAGATGTGTGTGACATTTTTTCACTTGGCTTTGTTTGTTTTGTTGGTTTGAATAAAGTAAAGGATTTTGGCATAATGATGGGCTTTTCATGCTAAGAAAAAGCAAGATGGACAGATAAAAAACAATTGAGGGAGTTTGAGGAAATTGGTTGGTTACCACTAAAATACAAATTTGTGTAGGACGTTTAGTTTATGGAAAGCCTGACTGATATTATTGTCTTGGGCTGATGTGAGGATACGATTTCCAGCCATGTCTAGTCCGTGTTGTGAGGTACGCGCTCATATGACTTTATGCAGTTGCGAGTGCGACAAGTGTCGTCAGGCCCCTGCTATCGGACTGTGGGACAATTCTCGTGTCTTTAGAGCTGTAGCTCTCGCTGCTCTGAACACACGGGCAAACTGAAACTTGATGATGTTTGTTGTTGCTGTTAGTCCAGTAGCCTTTGAGATGATGATATTATTTGCTGTTGGTAATCCTGTAACTTTTGAGCATACGTGCACCCTTCAGCTCAATGCCATCTTTAAAAAAGTTTTTTGCTGCTGTTTAAGGTATTGTCTGTGGTACTGGTAGGGATGGGAGGAAGAAGTTGCCTTTGGAGATTCTGTTGTTTGAGACTTTCAAAGATAGATTTTGGATTGTTTCTGATGATATTTAAAGTCTACTTCTTGTAGTGATCACTGATATTTAAAGTCTACTTCTTGTAGTGATCACTGATATTTAAATTCAGTCGATAGCGCCGTAAAACACCTACTCTATCAATCAAAAACTGATATTTAAAGTCTACTTCTTATATAATGATCACTGATTTTTAAAGTCTACTTCTTGTAATGATCACTGATATTTAAAGTCTACCTCTTGTAATGATCACTGATATTTAAAGTCTACCTCTTGTAATGATCACTGATTTTTAAAGTCTACTCCTTGTAGTGATCACTGATATTTAAAGTCTACTTCTTGTAATGATTACTGATATTTAAAGTCTACTTCTTGTAATGATCACTGATATTTAAAGTCTACTCCTTGTAGTGATCATTAGTACAGAGTAGGGTTAAGAGGAGCTCAAGCATGATGACTATTTTATTATAAACTGATAGACTGACTTATATCTGTGGTGATTGTAAGCTAAGTTGTGTCTTTGTAATGGATTGTTGTAACTTGTAAGCATAAGTGACTGCGAGACTGTAACTGAGGTATGTTTTTCCCAGGATGAAGACGCATCTAATTCAAAGAAGGTGAGGCAATTAGCTGGTTGTAGTCATAACCCCATGTTGTCTTCTTCTGCATCGATCCATCAGCTTTTTTTCCTTTCTTCATGACGTTAATCCAGGCCTTGATGGGTGTGCACGAGGTTCGGCCTATACTTCCTAAGGAGGGTTTTGTAGCCCAGGACTAGATCATGTAGTTTACTTGAAAGTTTCTTTCAATGTACTGTGGAAATTGTCCTAGACGGCCACCCATTGTCGAGGAGAAAGGTGGTTGTCTTAGACAGGTGGACGTCCTGGACAGTGTCACTAGAATGTAAAAAATAATATTGTGGGAAGTGGTTGTTTGTACAGGTGATTTTCTTGGGAAGGTGGCCATTAGAGCTAGTTCAACTATATTTTGAAGTTATACTTTATGTATTCTCTTCATTTGCTTGTTAATGGATTCCAGATGTATACCTAAACTCGATGTATCCCAGAATGCATAACTGCACATTGACTCAGAGGGTGAGAGAGAGAGAGAGAGAGAGAAGTCGTGTGTTAGTTGTTTTGAAAGGAGGGGCATCCTTTCAACTGCTCAGGGGGGGGGGGGGGGGGGGGGACTCCATTGTGGTTTGAAAGTCTCCAAGTGAAACCTCTAGTCAAGCCTTGCAAATGTTTATCAAAGTTTGAAACTTCCCCGCCCTTGTGATCAGTCTTCAAAGCTCTCACAAAAAGTTGAAAAAGATAAGATGAAGAAAAGTGTTTCCCAGCTTTTTTGCAAAGGGATCATTATAAGTAAGTTACAATTTTTCTCCCTTCATCAATGTTACATTGGAGGTGATCAGATTGAAATATTTTTTCCCCCTGAGCTGTTATTGACTGACCTTTTTCAAACTGATATTTCAAATGCGATTTAAAACTCTAAGGAGTGACTTTTTTCATAGGTATTATAGGCACAAGCTCCAAACCCATAGCAAGAACATTGTAAAAATGTCATGGCCCGTAAAAAACATTGTAATGCAACATGAAGTAGTTAGGTGACTGTTCAGGTTGCAACCATGCCAAGTAGACCTACAGCATTATTACCTCCCTTAACCCTTCACTTCTGTGGCTTACCTGGGCTGTTACCTAGGATTATATAGGACAGCAGATCTGACAGTGAGGAGGTCACTTGGAGAAGGGATCATTGTGAGGACACCCATATTTGTTACGGTTTTTTTTTCTAGCTCTAGTCTGAAATTTTCCTGTTTCAGTGTCCTCCCTGCCCTTTAGACTTAGTTACATTTGGGGAGTAGGTTCTGAGTTTGCTTTCAAATTTTATACAATTTCACAATCATAGCTGAAGATGGGGGTAGTAGGTTTAGAATTTGTTTAGATCTTCCCAAAGACGGGTGTAGATGGGGCAGTAGGTTTGGATTTTGCTTATAGAACTTTGCAATCACATCTGTGGATTAGGTTGGGTGGGGGGGGGTGGGTGGGGGTGGGGGGTAGTTTTGAAGTATGCTTAGAACTTCACATTCACAGCTGTAGATCGAGCAGTAGGTTTGAACTTTGCTTATAGAACTTCGCAATCACAACTGTATATGGGCAGGTTAATGTTCTTAGCCTTGTTTTTGGAAAGACATTATTATATTTTCTCATTCAAATTGTTTCCCAGCATAATTTCATGTTTTCTCCAGCCCATCATTTCATGTATTAGATATGCACCCTTTCTATTTATGTAAATCACATTTCTTTAGTGTTGCTTCTGTTGTTATTTCATCACTCATGCCATTTCTATCCTCTGATTACGACACATTCACTACAGGACATAAGCATTACTGCGGTAAGACAGCTGACTTCTATTTCTGTGCTTTCAGAGTGCTCTCAATGTTGGGGATTTTTTTCCTCCCATATCTTTCGAGACTCCTCCTAATAGTTCTGATAAGACTGATGTATACCTAGGGGTCCTGTTTTGGCTTTTGAAAATAAAGAATCAATTAGAAGCATGAATACACCCTGCCTACTATGAGTGCTTCTCCCTCCCAGAAATACAGATCAGCATGGCTGAGACATGCATATAGGCCTAGCTTAGTAAATTGTTCATTCAGTGAATGTTGCCGTCGTGTGCGTGCTCGAAGTTGATGTCTAGTTGTTGTGCTGAATGTGCCCATGCATCGTCAAGCACACACCCCCTGTGACACCTATAGTTTCTGTATTGGAGGCATGATGAGGTGATGATGATGATGATGATGATGATGATTATGACCAATCAAGCATGAATATTTCTATTCCCTTACCCCTGGACCACTCACTGTTATAGGCTCTCTGACGATTATTATTGAAGAATCACAATGAAGAGGAATTTCCGGAACAAAAAAATGAGTTGAAATATCGAGATGTTCGTTGGTGCTGCAGTGATATTCAAGGTGACTGGAAGAAGAAGTACCAAGGTTCTCGAAAGTAGTGCTGGGTTAGACAGGATGGTCTGTTTCTGTGAGGTCTAACTAATCGTTGTTTTAACGGTCAAATGGTTGAATAGTCCCCATCCTAAGGTCTCAGGATAATGCTCTGGACTTTTCGTACGATTTTTCGTACGATTGAAGCTGCTGAACTTTGATCTGGGCAGAGATGATGAGATGATGTTCTCTATCTCCGATACTCTCAGAACAAGCCTACTGTAGATGTTCTGTATCTAGGACATTATGAGAATAAATGACATAATATTAGTTGTACAGGGCATATCCCCGTTCAACAGTTATATGTTAGATAAGAGTTCCAGAAGTATTTTTAGCAAACTGTTTTGTTCAAAGTCAGAACGTTTCTTAGAGTGGGAGGGAAAGCATTACCTGGTGAATAGATTCGGCATTTGTCTTCAATGTATCATGCCTGAAGTTAAGTCTCATGCTGATGAGCTATGAGCTAGCAGTAGATTTTTACTTCTGTTTGGAGAGGGAACAGTTGACCTTCCTTGTGGGGCAAAATGTGTTTTCTGGACTTCCTCATTGATCAGTGGTGTAGCAAGGGAATGTGGAAAATAGCCCAGTGGGGGGAGGAGGGGGGGGGGAGATAGTAAAGTAATAGTCTCATATAGAGAAATGGAGAGAGTTTGTGGCAGTTAATTGTGTGTGCATGTATGTGAAAGAGAGAGAGAGAGAGAGAGAGAGAGAGAGTAAAGACACCCACAAAGGAAAAGAGAAAGCAATAGTAGAGAATGAGAAATTGGCGAAAGAATACATTATTACATGTTTTCTCCCAAGATATGTATCATCAAATAAGGGGTCCCTCTCCAGTTTTGGATGATTTAGAGATAGGCAAATGTTCCTCTTTCGAATGAAATGGTCTTGTCTATGCCAGTACAGCATTTGACTTCATAAGCAAATATCTTAGAGGTGTATTTTTTGGGTGACAAGGGATCTGATATGTCTCTTTTTCACCGGTCTTTTTGTTATTCAGGCATGATATTTTGGGTCTTTCGTCTATTTTTATTGGCATTTTTAAATCACCTTTGTCCGTCTGATCCAAGAAATGGTTTATAATCGTCAGATCCCTGACTATGACAATGCATGGATGGTCTGTTAACTAATACACCTACTGTAGCACTCTGGTAGTCATTTCCCCTCTGACGTATCAGGGTCTCTTTGTGCCAGTCACATTCCCTAGGTCACTAATCGTGTATTGGATCTGCTTAATTATTTCTTTCTTCTCTGAGAGCGAAATTACTTCTGTAGTGACCTTTTTAAAGTTTGTTTCAGTTCTCTTCGTTCGTGGTGACCTGTTTTGTTTTTTGTTCTCTCATGATGTCACTGTCAATAATCATCTCCGTTGTACATTTTTCCGGACTAACCATCATCTTGTTCCTAGCTGTCTGTGAACCCTAACTCACCGTCCTTTCCTCCCTTTGTGTGCGTACCAATAGATAAACCTACATAGCCTCTCTGCATGGTGCTCACCTCAATTTCTTTATGTGTGAAAGGTTTGTGCGTGTGAGCGAGTGATAAGGTTCTCGTTTGACGAAGGTTTCTGGAATCTCGAGGGTTTATTTTTCTCCCCCCCCCCCTTCTACGTTAAGCAGGGATATGACCATGACAATGGGCAGGAATAAAATGTAGAGTTTTTTTCCCCCCCCATCACATCACCTCATCTCATTCAATCTTGAAGCAATATTTTCTACTTTGTCATGCTGTTGAAGTGAGTTCAAGTTTTGCCATCTCCACAGACCTACTTGTGTGCCCCAGTGACTAAAGTAAACACCTATAGAGAATGGGCGCTGGGGCTGCTTAACGTAGAAATCCATGGCTAGGTACAAGACTCCGGCAGACTCCAAACTGCAAAATGACGTTTATTGGAGTCTTGCATCTAGCCATGGATTTAGACCTTTTGCTTTAAAAAAAACAAACTTCTTATCCTGTGGATTATTGACCTCTTAAACCCTTTCCTTCTAAGACATGGATATTTCAACTGCTTCAAAAATACACTCTTTATTTTCTCAAGAGGTCTTGTACTTCTCCCCTTGTGGTCTCAGGTTGATTCTGTCTTCTTTTTTAAATAAAATTATTGAGATTTCCCACTTACCAACAACAGTATGGAAGGTTTCCAGGCATGGTCTTATTGGTTTTATCTGTGATATTTTTCTCCCTGTTTCCCCTGGCTATACTGTACAGTTGACTTTCTCTCCCCTCATATAGGTATATGTATGTATGCATAATAACATATTCACTCTCATAAACTTGAAAAGACAACTTGTTTTGAGCAACAGTTTTTCTTTTTTTTTTTAAAGTCCCAGTGGCATGAAGCACTCTTGCACAATTTGGGTTGGATCATTCTTTTTAATTCCTGCTTGTAAACCATTACCAGGTAGAGAGTATGGCTCTAGTATCGGGGGATTCCCTTTTTGTCTAACTGGTCGTTCTTTGTGTGACAGGTTTAAGCAAGCATGCTTTGTTTATGAATGGACAAGGTAGTAACTGACTGAAGTTTTGTAGAGTTACTGTTTTATCTGTTGTTTCAACAGCATGGATTCTCTGTTCACTATGTTTATTTCGTTTTTTTGTTGGTTCTTTTTTATTAATGCATCCGTATCTATAGCGGAGGAAGGTGAATGTCAACTAACTTTTTTTGTTTTGTTTTCCTGTTTCTTTACGTCTTCAGAAGTATTGAATGATAGTCGAATTTAAAGTTATGAAAGCTTTGTCTCAACATGACAATTACAGATGTTTTGTAAAGCAAGTTTTTATAAAGTTAACGAATAATTATACATTATTGAAAATAAAGATGTACAGACTTTACAATGTGCAAAGCCCATATATAATGAATCACAGCAATTTTCCATCAGTTTACATTTCCAGTAAGTTCCATGTCATCCATATAAACTTAGAACAAGATAAATTGAAACAATCAGGGATACCAGGACTGGAATATGATTTAAGCAAGATGGACTTTGAGTTGATTTAGGCTGCTTTATTCACTTTGATGTTGTGTTTCAATTGTGTGAACATGTGACAGTAGGTCTGTCTATGTTGAGCTGATTGTGTATGGGTAAGAAAAGGAAAGGAGAATTCTTATTGAATGACCCTACTCCATGATTGATAAGTCAAAGAACTATTTGGTTGGAGGGGACCTGTATTTTTAAAATATGTATTAAACACTGTTGATTGAAAGCTTGCCTTTTGTTTTGATGAAAGTCATTTGAAATATTGCTGCTCTTAAATTGTTCTTATATTTTGTTGGTCATTCGTTTTCTTGTTTCTTTCTCTTGGTTATGATGTACATTATTGATGTAGAGCGCCTAGATTATTATTATCATCATTATTATTATTTATTATTATTGTTATTATTGCTATTATTGCTATTATTATTGTTGTTATTATTGCTATTATTGCTATTATTATTATTGTTACTATGATGACGGTGATTGTTATTATAACATGTACTTCTTGTTTAAAAAATAGTCATAGTTGTTTTGATCATTGTGACTAACAAGAATCAAGGGCATATATATCCATATCTGTTTCGACTATGCTGTGATGATCAGAGTATAGATATTAGTAGAGTGTGTTATAAATGCCCCTGGTAAAATCTAGTTCTGGTGCAGCGCACAATTCTTGTAGTGGTGCTTTGTGGCTCTGGATTTCAAGTTTCTGCCAAAAGAAGAATGTTTTATGCTCTGTGCCTGCAAACCTGTCCCCCCAGTTCTGGTCCTGATCTGTAAAATTATCCCAATTTTTTTGCTGCTTTTTTACCTCATACATAGTTGAAATTTTAGTTTGTTTTGTCTTGAAATTCCATGGCATCTTCATAGAGATCCTGAAGCTGAGATAGATTTTTAGTTGAGTGCATAGCTTCATGACTGTGAAAAGAGCTACTTTAATCTGGTGCTTTGGAATATTAGCAAGTTACCTTTTTCATTTCATACGGTCATCGTAGTTGCATTAATAAGACAACATATTGTCACATATGCCTATGTTCAGTTTTTATGGTATGCGGCACTGATTAATTTTGTTACCAGTTGTTGTTTTTTTTCAGGGCTCTCTTTTTCGCTTCTGACATCTGATAAATGAGTTATGATTTGTTATGAGACATTTCAAAACATTATTAGCCATTCTTCACATATTTATAATTTATAACTATATTTTTCTTGTCCTTTACATTTTGTGTGTGGATGGTTGGCGGGTGCTCTGGTGTGGTCTTCTTCCCCTTTCCTATCAAACATCTGTCATCTTTATCTCCCCTCCTTCTTTTTTGTGTTTGTTACTCTCTTGTAACACCTCTAGTCTTCGGCACTTGTATGACCTTATTGTGTTGCAAGTTCCGTAAAACATTTACTGAAACTAAAAACATCTTTTGTGTGTTAGTTCTGCTTTTTCTTTCTTTTTATCTGGAGGTCATTGCTTTTTCCTGAAAGGGGAGACGATTAGATTCTATGGCTTGAAGGTAGACTACAAAAGTCTGAGTGAATAAGGAAGTGCTAGCTTGGACAAAAGCTTAGGATCACATTCCTACCTTAGCTCTGAATCTCTTTCACTTTCCTGCAATTCTGTGTCTGAGATTTACACCTATGAAGAAATGAATTGTTGGTCCTTGATTTCGTCCACAGAAACATCAAGCAGTGGGCTTCAAGTGCGCAACTGCCCCAGGGGCCAAATACCTGTGGCGCTGTGCTGTGGAGCAGCAACTTTTCTTCACGTAAGCTTGCATTTTGTCTGTGCTTTTGTCTGTGTGGAAGAGAGGATGTGGGAGGGAAGTGTGTGTGTGCATGTGTGTGTGTGTGTGTATGTGTGTGTGTGTTTGTATGTGTGTGCGTACGTGTGTGTGTGCGTGTTTGTGTGTGTGTGCGTGCGTGTGTGTGTGGGTGTGTTTGTGTGTGTGTGCGTATGTGTGCGTGTGCGTGCGTGCGTGTATGTGTGTGTGTGTACATGGTGAAACACCAAACCAATGTGCCAGGGTCTAGACAATAAAGATGTATCTTATTTTATCTATATATTTTTTGGCTGCAACACTTTTGGAGTGTCATTTCCTCGTTGTTACGTCTATACGTCTAATACTGACAGATTACACCAGTGATCTGATAAAAGTATGCTTAGAATGAAATGAAAGTCCCACTGATCTTCTGATATCATGATATGGTCATCATTGCTAAATTGAAAACAAAGTGGGATATTTCTTTGGTTTCTTTAATTTCAATCTGTCGTTTTAAGTTGACGACATTTTATTAGTTTGGTTCTGTAGCACTTGACAAAGTAGAATTGCTTTTCTTGGTTTAAATGGCTGAGTTTTAGTTAAAAAAGTACCGACGTGCATAGATAACAAGATTGCGAAAAACTTGAAATCACAGATAGCTCATACAATTTACCTTTACCCGACCGATATCTCTTTCATTTTTCGTTTTCGTTTAACCCAAATTATGGATGCGTCTACTCATTTTTGTCAGTACCCGAAGTGTTTGAATTATCCGTGCCCGACTAGTTTTACAGAAAGTGTTCAGCTTTTACATGAGGGTAGCACAGACTTGTAAGCATAGACTAACCAAGGGGAACATGCGTTTGTATAATTGTGATTTGTTTCCACTTCCCAGATTGTCCTCCTCTGCCACAGTTCCCAAAATTCGGTCTGGGGGATCGATTTTCTCCAGAGGATCCAAATTTCGATTCAGGTATTTATGTCTCTCCGATAAAAACTTATTTAGTATTCCCTAGTATTCCTGCAGTTTCTTCTTCTTTGGCATCACCAACTTCCCAAACTAGACAGTGACATGGAGTTTATTGCCAGCGAGGGTTTAAAAAATGTTTACATGTTTAGTGTACAGTTGTGTTCTCACCAGTTTGAGAGGATTGTGATATGTGCTTGATTTATGTATCGCCTTTGACAATTTGTTCCCATGTAGATAACAGCATGAGGTGTTATTCTATTTTTGGCAAATCAAGTAATAATAATAATAAATGACATTTATATAGCGCTCAACCCCGAATAAAGTACACAGGCTCTGAGCGCTTTGCAATACAGTACAACGTACAACAGTAACATAAAACGTGTTCAGAATAAAGAAATTTCTTCCAAATGAAATAAATTCCTCAGTTGTCTGTTGTGCATGCTGTAAGAACCCTTTATTAGAGTAAAGGGGGAAAAAACCAATGTTCTTTTGACACATGAAATCGAAATTGTCCAAGATGGCCACCCATTGTTGAGGAGAAATGTAATTGTCTAAGGCAGGTGAATATCTTGGATAGTGTCATTGTAATATGGAATATAGAAAAACCCAAGGGGGAATTAGGAAGTTATGTTTGTTCAGGTGATCGTCTTCTACAGGTGGCCATTAGAATAGATTCAGCTGGTTGTTTCTGTTTGGGTAACTGCTATCTTAAATGTGTATTCAGCTTTCCCATTGAGGCCCAGAGGTTGAGTTGAGTAAAAGTTTAGATGGCTCTCTATAGAAAAGGTGGATTATTTTTCCCCAATTTGCAAGGAGTACTGTTTTTGAAAGACAGCCTGTAAACTTTACTAGTTCTTTGAAAGGAATTGCAAGCATGAACTGATGAAAATTTTGTTTTCTAAATGTGAGGCGTGTGGACAACATGACTTACTTCTCGCAGCCTGCGAATGGAGACATCAGCCAAAAATAGACACCAAATTTGCAGATTTTTAATGGATGCTATTTTCTTCAACTTTAACATGTCTTTTATCAGTTCATAAGATAAAATGTACAAACCCCACAGATGATTTATTGTATCTATCTGTGGCCATAGAGCTAAAATCCGAGCGTCAACTCATTGTGCCAGCACGCCTCACAAATGTAGTTTTATTTCAACGTTTGTAGTTTTGAATATATTGTCCGAGTGAGCTGTGTCTTTGCCATATATAGCATGTGGAGGTATCAGAAATCTAATGTCAGTAGCTAATGGACTGTGTCTTACCTTGATCTTGACCGAAATGATTCCCCTGGATGTTTTACATGTGAGTTGTGTTTTTATCTGCGCATGCGTTGTGTGACTAACTTTGCTGGCCATGTTGTCTTTACCAGTGGAAGATGCCAGAATGAGGCATACGAGGCCAGTGAGAACATTGGGAGAACAGAGCCACCTTTTGCCAGGTAGTATTTAGTCATCGTCATAGGCAAATCATCTTTATATTATATTCTTCAATAGTTTGGGCCTCAGAATTTCGGCCTTGCAGCTTTTTAGTTAGAAATAGAAATATTTGTTTTCTTGATATCATTCACATCTTAAGACATACACACATACATGAATACACACTCACACACACACACACACACACACACGCACGCACACACACAATTAAAGAATAATGGCAGGTATTGGTCATAGAACCTTTATATGCATAACTGTACTGTGAATATTAAAATATGAAAAGGATACTTAAAAGTATGTCATAAGAAGAAAAAATGTTACACCCAATTTAGGGCCTGTGGAGTCTGTTGTAGTTGTTTTATTTATTCTAACTTGTCTGCTTCTTCTCAGAACATCGTCTTTGCCAAACTTTGGAAAGAGAAGTCACCCTAATGACAATAAGAACAACACTATGCGGGATTCCTTGGCGTCGGAAAGCTTCAAAGATGGTAAGCCGGTTACAGAACGTCGAAGCTTTGTGTCTGTTTGCATGTGCAGTGTCTAGAGGGGTCTGTGCCTGTCTTGTCAGGTGATACAGATAAGGCCTTTTTCACAAAATACATTACATCCATTTCTCAACTTGAAGATAAATTATGTGTGCTGTATAACGGGTTTTTCCCCCTGTATGACTTCAATTCACAATTTTTTAAAAATTTGCAAATGTAAGTCGTTCTCGAAATGTTCATGGAACAAATAATATATACTTGATGACTCAAATGGTGAAATAAAATCATTTGTATAAAAACGAAATGAGTAAAACAGGCGGAAAAAGTGCGCGAAAAAACAGCGAGTGCAGTATTTGATATCCAAACTTTTATATGCGACAGGGTTTGTTTTTGGTTTTTAATGATTGGTGGAACACATTAATTACTTCCTGTCATGGAATGGTGCATGCTTGTTACTGAGTGAAAGAAGTCTTTTTTTTTTAAAACCTGGTTAGCTTATCGCTGTAGAAATGGATGGAATGTATTTTGGGACGGGAGTTTTCAAAAATGGTTCCTGTAGATGTACCTACAATTTAAAGGTCACCTTAACCATTAGGGCAATGAGAATATAGTGTCTATAACACTGGGTAAAACTGTTGACAGATCACTTGAGCTTATATTTCGTTGCCTCAGAGCTGTTTTGTCCAAAGTGTACTTAAGTAAAGGCACTTTGGACAAAATAGTGCTGAGTTGACAATTTGCCTGTCTTCTGTAGTTTTTCTTCTGTCTTGTCCCCTGTGTCTGTGCTCACGTAGAATAGAAGAAAAATAGCATTTACGTATTTATCCGCCAATATAGAGTCCATAGAGAAAATTATCATATATGAATATCATCATGTATATGATGCAACTTTAAATTTCTATGTCAAAGCTTCAAAGTCACCCTGTGTCTTTATCCATGAGATCTATAGAATCAGATTTTTTAAAACTCAGTGAAGGCTGACCAAGAGAATAGACTCTTTGGGTCTGAGACTACTGATGAAAATCAGGTTAGGTTAAAAAAAAGCAAAACAACTTTGTTTTGGTTTCGTTTGAAGTGGGGATAATAATGAAAAATCCACTAATAAAGGTGTTGGTTGGTGCTTGCCGTGAGAAAGTTGGCGTGTCTTACCAGATGAACATATCGACAGCTCAGTGTAAGAAGACATCTGTCATACGTCACTTTTCAAAATGGCGCATGGCGAAGTCTTATACCTAGCAGTGGATATGATTTCACCAAAATTCTGGCTGTTAAGTCTACCTTTACTTTGTTTTTTCTGCGCATGCGTCCTGTACACGATGATATACTGTACATCCAGCCAGTAGCAATGTTGGGAAGAAGTGGGTTCTGTCAAAGGGAAGGAATGAGAGTTGCATCCTGCTTGGATTCAGAGGAACGGACTGAAATGAGGACACATGCTGCTCACTAATTGACACTACTACTTCGCTTCTGATTATTATTAATAACAGCAAATTGTTATGAACAAGCACTAAAATTTAGAAACAGCTTACTAATAAGTTTGAGCAGATCGTCAATAGTCTGTAAGAAAGTATCACAGAAAATAATAGAAAGGTCCCGCTGTTTTAAAAAGTAAATTCAGCTTTCTGTCTTGGTGGATGTATGTTTCTTTAGCTGTTCTTACAGTGTTGACTCTTTCATTCTTTTGTTAATTAATTCTACATTTTAGATAGAGAGCTAGTGCACTTACATTGAAATGAAAAAGATTTGCTTTTGCTGTCTGTGTTAAAATAACTTAAAATGAGTTAAATTTTCAGAGTTGAATGTCACTTGAGGTTTTTGTGAAGAAGTTTAACAAGTTAAGTTCTTCAGTGGGTGGTTGGCGGGTGCTCTGGTGTGGTTTGCTTCTTCTTTCCTATCAAACATCTATCGTCCTTATCTCTCCTCCTTCTTTTTTGTGTTTGTTGCTCTCTTATAACACCTCTAATCTTTGGCACTTATATGACTTTATTGTGTTGCAAGTGCCGTAAAACACTTACTAAAACTAAAACTAAGTTGTTAAAGAACATTTCTTTCACTTTCAGTATCAGTCTCCACAGAATATGGGTCATGCTTATGAAGATGTTTGCATCATATATTTGAGAGAGATTCTCTCCCTTTCTCTATACCCTCTCTTGTTTCCTTTATACACACCTCTAGACGGCCTTTTGTAGCATAGAAATAAAGCACACATACGTAACACATCCTAGTTTGACTAGTTTGACAATACATGTGACTGGATGGAAGAGTTTCCAATGCTCATCTTATCCTGTCGTTGTGAATATGTATAAACTTTAAGTCTGGAAAGACTTCAGCTAAGTCACTCTTTTTTATTTTTCTCTCTCCTCTGTTGTCTGCTCTATAGATCGCAGAAAGTTTAATGGTAAGTGTGACATCACTGGTATAAGCTACAAGTTTCCCCATATTTTTACTTTAGCAGAGAATCAAATGCCAAATATTCAAAGTGATGGAAGCTTGTTTTTTTTAATTTTTAAATTTTGGTCTTTTTATTTTTATATCTCAGCACAGCATTTGGAATGAACACAGTAATGATTTTGCTGATTTTTTTGTTTTATGTCACTCTTAAAAAGTTCTGAGGATGGCCCAAAGTCTTACTCATTCTGTTTTGTTTTCAAGCATTACCAATGACATCTAAATGGTTAATGAGTTTGATGTTTATTAATATTTTTATACATGTTTAAGAAACAAAAATTAGTTTTTCTGACTAGTTTTTTTTTAATACGTAGAAGGGATTATGCAACTTGGGAATGAGGCTCTGACAAATTATTTAGTGAATATTTGGGGTAAAGTTCAAACTAGTGTTCATTGACTCTAAAATATATCAGATGATTTGATTTCTTGACTGTCTCCTTTTGCAGTAACTGTTATTTACTGAGAAAAATGTGAGGTGATAAGCGTTCATTAACTGTTTCCCTTATACCTTTGCATGTGCCAAGTCTGTCACAAACTTTCATTCACTTACAGTGTATCTTGCATCGGGCAAAAATAAGGAAGGTAATTTCCGTCTTGACTGGTGTGCTTTCTACTACCTGTGCACACCATCAGTTTTGGTTGTCCTGGTCCTGAGACCCAGTTTTCACTTTTTCTCCCTCGTGATTTTTTTTGTCACACGTGTATATTTAATGTAGCATTTAGTTATTTTTGTTCAGCTTAGGTGAATGGGTATTGCTGTTTGTGAAGCAAATATTTTTCCCTTGCATACTTTTTTGTAAAAGAATGTTTTTTTCTTGTGAAAACCATTTCAGTGTATGAATGGAACAAAAAATTTTATGGACTTGTATTTTCATAATTTCTCTTTTAGTGATTCTGTTTCGTATCAAGTTTATCTTTGAATAGTGACGTTTCAACTGATTCTTCTTTTTTTTACTCAGTTTTTGCTGCTTGCTGTGGTTTTTTTGTTTTTTTTATTGATTTTTAAGTGAAACAGATTCAAGGTTCTTCATTCTAAAAAACTACATAAATATTTATTTTTAAACTTCGAGTTCCTCCTTTGTGGCTGTGCATGAATGTTCATTATGCGAGCTGGCAGTTTTAGATTTCTGTGAATGGTACAGTGACTGTTGTGGTAGTAAGTCCTATCATGCTGTTTACTATAAGTGGCACCGTAAAAAAAAAAAAGGCTGACATCCAAAATTCAGGACTTGGTTTGGCTTTGAGTGGGATAGTCAGCAGTCCTGCCAGCCTTATGGAACTTGCACATCCGTGGAATTGTTAAATATGTGACCTGAGTTTTCTTTTGCATAGAAGAGATTGAGAGCTGATGTAGGCTTATGAGGAAATTACAGTATCCCTTTCCCGAGCCAAAAAAACAACCCCCCCCCCCCCCCCCCCCCCAAATCAGAGTGATGAGAGGATGTATGCATTGTTTCCCCTCTGACATACAATGTTATGTTCTTCGTACAATGCTGTGTACTGTGTATGTACAATGCTGTGTTCTGTGGAAGAAACACTGTGTTCTGTGTACGTACAATGCTGTGTTCTGTGGAAGGAACACTGTGTTCTGTGTACTGTTTACATACAATGCTGTGTTCTGTGGAAGGAACATTGTGTACTGTGTACGCACAATGCTGTGTTCTGTAGAAGGTACACTGTTTACTGTGTACGTACAATGCTGTGTTGTGTGGAAGGTACACTGTTTACTGTGTACTGTCTACGTACAATGTTGTGTACTGTATACGTACGATGCTGTGTTCTGTGAAAGGAACACTGTGTATTGTGTACTGTGTACGTACAATGCTGTGTTTTGTGGAAGGTACACTGTTTACTGTGTACTATCTACGTACAATGTTGTGTACTGTATACGTACAATGCTGTGTTGTGTGGAAGGAACACTGTGTTCCTCTCTGTTGGACATTGCTGTGACCAGTCCCAAATACTTGCTCCTCTTCTAGCGAGAATCTTGTTGGGCACCAACTTGCATATGGCTCAGCTTCTGATAGGAAAGAGTGTCAGTTTGGTAATAATCCTATGCATGATGCCCACAACTGCATAAGGCTAGGAAGGATAGGGGGAACACTTGCCTAGGGGGATCCTGTTGATAAGAGGCTGTTTGTCTCCGGCTTCCCCCAAAAGTATTGTCCTTATGTTGTCTTTTGCTACCAATTTAATGTTTATTTTTTAAAAATAAATACATGGATGGTTGGCGGGTGCTCTGGTGTGGTTTGCTTCTTCTTTCCTATCAAACATCTGTCGTCTTTTCTCTCCTCCTTTTTTGTGTTTGTTACTCTCTTGTAACACCTCTAATCTTCAGCACTTATATGACCTTATTGTGTCGCAAGTACCGTAAAACACTTACTAAAACTAAAAGTAAAGGAAAAAAACACCGAAACAATTAGTCGAAATTGTCCCAGACAGCCACCCACAGTTTAGAAAAGTGTTTGGCGAGTGCGGTGCTCTGTTGTGGTCTGTGCTTTTTTTCCTATCAAACATCTGCCTTCCTGATCTCTCCTCCTTTTTTTTTCTTTTGTTACTCTTGTAACACCTCTAATCTTCAGCACCTATGTGATCTTATTATGTTGCAACTGCCAGAAAAACTCTCACCTAAACTAAAACTAAACAGAAATGGGCTCAGTGTACCAGAGGAGTTTAAAGACACAGGCCTTTTCTTGAAAGCTTTTGTTGAATTGAAAGTTACATCACATACACGTGAGATATACGTCACTGCTTTTGACACAGAATGTTTTCATTGAGTGACCCTTTACCCTCTTCACAAACCGTACCCACACCTCACCCACCCTACCCTTCACATACCCTTATACTCTGCTGGGATGGAATCAGCCTAAAATGCTTTAAAAAAAAAAAAAGAAGAAATGTTACGTTCAATATGCATGTCATTGCTGCGTATTGTATTGAAAGATCTTGTTCGACGTATCATGGTTCCATCTCTGATTTTCATACACGTATTTACTCCTTGAATTGATTGACCAGTGCTTTTTCACACCTGCAATCGTTTGATGTGATTGGGTTTTGGCATCCTATCTTATTATACATTGAGAAGTTACACATGCTGCCAACGAAAAAAAGCTGAGTGAGGAGTTATGTGAACTGCACCACATTTTATTGTGGAAATAAAAGCGAAAGTGTGATCCTTCACCTTTTGGTTGTGTTCTGCATTCCTAGTACTGTACTTCAGATAGAATGTTTCTGGTAGTAAAAAAATAATAATGAGAACAAATTATTACTTTTTGGAGGTAAGCGTTGAACTTGTCTCAGAAATTATATATGCGGGTGGTTGGAGGTGCAACTGGTAAATCCTATCCCCCCC